CCCCTGGGGGGGGGGGGGTTTTTCCCCCCCCCCTTTTTTTTTGTTTTTTAAAAAAATTCGGGGCCCCCCCCCCCCCCCCCCCCCCCACGAATGGGGTGTCCTCGAACGAACTTACGATGAGAGACCATGTGCGTCTTTGTCCAGCGTTCGCATCAGTTGCGAGTTTCGCCTGATCTCGTTGGGCATGGTGGTCATACCGTCCATGAAGTCCTGCGGTTCGAAATTCCACCCAGCACGATCGCCCGGAATACCATTCCCGGGCGAAAATACGATACGGAGAGAAGCGGGTTGGCTGGTGGTGGAGCATGTCACGTCAGGCCATTGCAAGCACACGGCATTTCTTGGGGTTACCAGAGTGGTCCTCATCGTGCGTAGTTTCCAACAGAGAGCCAAACCGTTGTTGCCCGAACCTTAGAACCAGAATGTTGTACGGGGTTACTGTACCACCACAACTACAATCCTACTCACTGCTGTTGTGAGCACTCACGCTTGGGGAATTTTTCATTACGCCCTTACCGCCTAACGATAACCTAAACTCTCTTACGATCAACGAGAAAAGGCCCGACGGGTTTAGTCACGATTGCATAACCCTCATCGCCGCAGCGTGCTCCCTCCGCGATGGTCGGATCGCCACGACACCCTCAAGGCTGTACGCACCGGTACATCTGTAGGCTTCTTTTGAAGCCTGTTGTGATGGCTGTGGGGTTTGTGTGGGCCGAGCAATGGTGCTCCACGTGAGCAAATTCAAGAATCCGTGTGGAGATTTTCCACACATTTGTAGAACAGATCAGATCCCTAAGATCGACCTAGCTCCTTCGAAGGGTGTGTACCTTGTGATCGGTAGGACAAGTATGATCTGTCTATGGTTGCCCGACGTGACCTGAAAGATAGAGGTGATCGGGGTATGTTATTTGCTCCATGATAATCTGAAGGACATAGGTGACCGGGGCATGGTTGCCCCGAGATGATCTGAAAGACATGGATGATCGGAGAATGATTGCCCGAGGTGATTTAGACATAGGTGATCCGGGTATGCTTGCTCCATGGTGTTCTGAAGATTTGTTTATGTGTGCCCCATGATGATCTGAAGGACATGGATGATCGGGGAATGGTTGCCCGAGGTGATTTGAAAGACAGAGGTGATCGGGGTGTTCTTGCTCCATAATAATCTCACGGACATGAGTGACCGGTGTATGTTTTCTCCCCATGTTGATCTGAAGGACATAGATGATCGGGGTATGTCTCCCCGAGGTGATGTAAGGAGAAGCAACGGGCATGTTGCCTGAGGTGATTGACAGGATACAAGTTATCAGGGCATGTCTGTCCTAGGCTACAGTATCTGAAATATACGAGTGATCTGTTTGTGTTTGCTCCATGATGATCTGAAGGACATCAGGTGAATGGGGTACGTCTGCCCGAGGTGATCTCAAAGACAGCGGTGATCGGGATATGTTTTCTCCATGATGATCTGAAGGACATAGGTGAGCGATATATGTTTGCCCGAAACTATCTCAAAGACGCAGGTGATCGGGGTATCCCCGAGGTGGTACATGCTGCTGTGATTGTGTAGGGTTGCTCCATGATGATCTGAAGGACATAGGTGATCGGGGCATGTTTGGGCGAGGTGGTCTGAAAGGCATAACTGACATGTTGCACCAGGTGAGCTGTTGGGCACACACAGGTAACTGGGGCAATTTGCCCGAGATACACCTGCAAGGGGCGGGTGATCGGATTTTATTGCTTGCGCCGGATTTGCCGTTTTCAAGGGATATTCGCTTGACCTGTTGGCGTAAAGTTGAGAGTTGCACCTTGTGGCGTTTGCTAGAGGCCTTAGGGCAAGCCCGTCAGCGGCTGAACGCTTCACGTATCCTGAGCAGATGCGGCTTCTATTATTACGCATAAACACCCGGAGGAGGTGTTTTGGAGATGCCTGCATCTGGTCCTGGCTCAAACCGTCGGACGAGAAAACGAACGACATGCACCTGTCAATATGCTGTAAATCCAGTCTTTCCCTTATTCTTAACCATAACGATTATGACTATACATTGTACTAGGGCATCGATCGTGCCGCGACAAAAAACAACAATCATACGCACCATGTGGTACCATGAACCACGAGGATAGAGGGACACGACAATCACGATAATAATCAAGTGGGATTGTCCGTCCGCACCACACAACGACCTGTACATTCTGATTGAATCCTCATCATTCGGTCATCATTTTCCACGTTGCCCTGTATATCATACCCTGGACTGCGCGTTGTGAGTGATCGGTCCGGACATACATCCACACACTTGCCCACCCATGTCATGAACGATTGTTCGCTCGAGGCGCGAGGCGCGATCTGACGGACATAGGTGAATGGGGCATGTTTGCCCGAGGTGATCTCGGATGATCTGAGGATGTGTGATCCCTGGTTATCTGAAGGACACAGGTGATTTGGGTAGTTCCGAGGTGATCTGGAACACGCAGGTGATCTCAGTGTGTTTGCTTCATTATCTGAAGGACATACGCTATCTGTATGTTTGCTACATGGTTATCCAAAAGGACATGTGCCTAAGTGGTCTGAGTATGTGTGCTCCATGCTGATCTGTAATACATGGGCGAGCTAGTTCATGGTCTGTCCTACCATACAACAGGTTGTGTGGAAATATTTCGTCCACGGCAGTAGGCAGAAAATATATTGTAGGGGTAAAATCCGTGCGCGAAATCTCCAAACGGATTCCCGCTTGGATCAACGTTTCTCGGCCCACATACACCCACAGCAACCACAACAGGCTCGGTTCGTACAGCCTTCAAGGTTTCGTGGCGATCTGTCCATCAAGGAGGTACCACGTGATGGTGATGCGGTGAGAGGTCTCATCAGTTAGAGAACTCGTGTGCGGAATTGAAAAAATTCCGTCGGGCAAGTTGTCGTCGACAAAAAGAGTCAGCATGAGAGGCACGTTGGGTGGGCCGCATCTATCAACCCCCCCCCCCCCGCCTTCCCGCGTGATTTGAATCGCATTATTATTCCTTAATCGCACTTCGCCCAAACGTGTGACGAAACCATCGTATATCAGAGTTTAGGGCTCCGGCGTGGGTACACCACCGCCGATCTAAATGCACTTGTATTTTTTCCTGTTTGAATGGTCAGCTGGGATCTCCGACGAATCGTCCGCCAAGATGCGATATCTACGAAATTATTAGGAAACAAATTATTGCGGAGACAACAGGGCATTTCTTTACCGCATGATCTTCCTCGCGAGATCTCACTGAACTTCACACCCCCGTGTTCCTACAGTAGTACATAGAGTGGTACGCGACCGAACGGGACAAGCGCAAACAATCCAAACGACGGCGCCTGTCGTGTCTCAGAATCCCCTGCGGATAGTGCAATCATGCGTACATGGATAGCTGTTCAGCTCCAAAGTGTACTGGTTTCTTCAGGAGCACAGCAGCAGTATGCAAAAGAGAGAAATGATCCATCGGGACGCAGGTGCGACACGGACTCTCTGTCCGGGCATATTTCAACCCAAGACGCAGGAACAAAGAACATGTCGAGAGCACCAACATTTATACCAAACAGTAGACTTGTGGTCGTTGTGTGATGCACGCGGGATTCGGTACCGGTGGGATTCGGGATAACATCTTGTTCTCTCTGTAAGCAGGATGAAGGTAGATACTGCTGTAGACTATAGGGAAGGCCTGCTGCTTGCTTTACGATACGCGGATCGACTACTACTGCTTGCTGTATTGACTCTCACATCGACGAAAGTAGCTTCTTCCTGCATCGGACCGCGGTAGGCCATGGTACTCTACCCCCCCCTGTGGGCTTTGGCCTGCCCCCTGTGTCTGCTGCTGTGTGCTGCTGCCTCCAGCCCAAGCAAGCAAGGTGTGTGCAGCTCTTTTCGAAATAGGAGCCTAGTGGTGAGATTCGGAGGCGTAAAATATGGGGGAGGGGGGGACCCACGAAGGGTAACATATTCGACCGCTGCTGCGCGCTGTGCTGTCGTGTCATCCCCATCACGTGCGCCACGAGCAATGGGAGAGGGCAAAGGATAAGGAAGGGGAACGGTCAATACCCTAGATGTTCAATCTATCACCCGTGGATTGCTATCACTACCTAGAGACCTGTAGGAGTGAAGGATAACGTCAGCTTGCAGGTAGGCGACGCGGAAATAAGCCCGACCGATTTTTTTTTGGGTGAAAATACTCCTTGTTGCGGAACTCTCGTTCTCTCGTTGCAGGCTTGGTTTGGTGCTTTGGCGAACACCTAGGATATTATTTCGATAAAAGTCTCTTTCGTTTGCCCCCCCTACGAACAAAAGTACAGCAGTATCCATCAGCAGCACGAAGCCCCCCCGGGCCCATGGAGGGGTTCATCACGGCCCCCCCTTGGATTCCACCCCAGACTACCAGCCAAAATAAAAAACACCTACCTACTGCTGTCCGTGAAATTCAAAAATCTGTAGATTTGAAAAACGAGTGATGTAGGGCTGGTGATGTACTGCTGTGGACTTCCTTCCACCTTCCATGATTTTTACAATATTATTCCTAATATGTCTAATAAACCAGCAAGCTGTCAATAGACACTGCGCCGTGTCCCCTGTGAAGGTTACATTTTACAATACACGACACAACGGAGGGTTTCTCCCCGATATTTTGTCGTTGACCCAGTAGAGAACTACAGGGGATGTATTGTAAAATGTAAGTTGTATACAGATGTTTTTGTACTTAGCACCAGCTGGCATCACTGGTATAAATAATCAGTGTATAGACTTTAAAAGACTGGAAATAAGTCCAGTACCCAGCCGGTTTCCCTTCACTCACTGAAAAGACTCCACCACATCCCGTTCGACTGTGGGTATATCTCGAATGGGTAGTCTTTCTGTGTGGGTATCTATTTTTCCTTAAAATGAAATACGATCGAAACATCATTTGAACGTACACAAACAAACCAAACACTCCTCCAATGTAACTCGAAGAGCACGCAGGTTCAGAGGGGGGGTAATAGGGTTGAGTAAGTCAACGTGAACGGGAGAAGGCCCCCAGATCAGATACCTTTGGTAAGCGGCGCAGCTTCGCCGCCAACCATTATTACACTATTCACCACATCCGCCCCATCTTCGTAAAAACCACAACCCTTTCTCTCGAAGACAAGCCTTCCCCGCCGAGTACCAAGTGAACTCGTCTCACCCCAGCAAGCGTCGTCCGACTGCACGAGCGCCCGAAACATGTCTTTTATCCGAGACACGGACATGCCGTGCGTGGCACCAAGATACGACACCCCCTCGATCGATTTTCAAAGCAACACTGCTCCACGGCCAAAGACGATTTACAAACCAAACGATACGTTTTCGGAAAGCTCTCGACGAGACGGTTCAGTCACCGCCACTCTTTCAACGGTGGAGTAATCGAGCCTTGAAAATCGGGCCAGGGGGTGTGGTATCTTCCATCACCTACGGTAGTCTATCGTGCTCGACTCGGAGAGGTGGTTATGAAACATTTCGACAGCAGTCTCTGCAACGGTTCCACCAAAAACAATCAAGTCTAGGAAAAAGAAAAAGTTATCGTACCGGCAAATGCTCATACAATTCTATTGGTGTTTGGAACCTCACTAAATGCCGGGTGCAAGAAAAAAAAGAAGCGCACAATCGATGGTAGGACACCAAGGGCTCACCCCCCCCCCCACCCCTATCGGCGTTCCAGCTCGTCTCTACTTGACAACCAAAACAGATACGAAGAAATCGCTCTACATTTTTCGCCGACGAGCTGTTTCTGACGTTACAAGCCCCCGTGAAAGGTGTCTTCTGCCGTTTTTAGTCCTCGTCGTCGTCTTGTCCTATTGCCCCCCCACAACGTGTCGCCCTCCCTCCCATCCTGGTCCTTCCGTTGGCGGCATGAGTGTTCTAGTTCTGCGGCTTGAGTACCGCGCTCTTCTCTTGGCAGCTGACGGACGGCGGCCGACAAAAAACACGGCGGGAGGGATCCGCGTGGTGGGTGAGATGACGGCCGAAAGACGAACAAGCTCGTACTAAAAATACGAGCATTCAGCAAAAGGGACAACAACATGGAACAGTGGACTCCACTTTTCCCGACACCATCGCGGTTGTATCTCGGGTACACGGCGTTGAGAGTGACAGCGGCACTTGGCGCACCGAAAAGGCATCAACCACGCCACCCGTCACCGCACTTTGCATACCCCCCCGCGCTAGAAAAAAAAGCCGCGCAGCGTTGTGTTTGCATGAACGTCTGCGTGTCGTCGTGGTGCAGCTTGACTGCTCGACAGACACCCTCGCATGATCTCGGCCGCTGTTCCTTGGCGTAGCTTCACCAACTATTTGCAAGAAATAAATCAAGCACCTCAAGGAAAAAACAATCTGGGGTAGAAGAGATCCAACTCTAGAAGATTGCAGACACAAAAAACGAAACATGGGCCCCAACTGCTGTAGTAGAGCTACAAAAAACCTTGACAAAAGCTGGAGCACGCGTTTGTGCCGTGGGCGCTTCTGTCCAGGGGGGGGGGGGGGGGGTATCGTGACAACCGCGAGTTCCCCAAGTTAACACTAAAGGGCGAGGACAAGACGATAGGTCCGACGGCGTTCCTAGTTTCTCGTGAGCCTGGGAGAGAAAACTACTTCAAGTATAAAACTACTTCAAGTAGTTGATCCATCACACTTCCCGCTCCCGTCGTTGTCCAACGGGTAAACGCCAACTTTGGCTGTGGACAACGATAGTATTTTGATCCTTGTCACAACTACGACGATGGGGTTCGGGATGGGGTTTGAAGCTGTCTGCATAAAGCGTTGCTGGCGCCCAACGGGACTGGATGATGAAACCGACAACCAAACGTATCGAGGCGGGGCGTCTACCACAGAACGCGCCGCCGCTGAAGAGCTTAGCAGTCAGCAACTTGAGCCTGCAAAAAAAAAGACAAAACCAACAACTTGCCCGTAAGAACAGGTGCTTAGTCGAAAACCCTACACTGCTGTGTAGTCGCCGTGGGGGTACGCCATAGACGCAGTAAGAAGCAAGCCTCAGCGAACAACAGGTTCTTAACCCTCCTAGTACTGGAAGCCTAAATGGGGACACTTTTTGGGACACAGCCCTCGAACGCCTATTCACCGCACCGTGGTCACACTAGGCTCCGCTGTGTGAAACGCACGTGAGAACCCTTGGTCTATCATGCTTTGCTGAGGTGGTACGCTGTGTGATATGCTGTGTGATGCCTCTCCTCGGCCTCTGACTTGCTGTCTTGCTGTACACCATCTCCCTAGCCGCGTGTCCCGTGGGCCATAAAAACTGTACATCGCCTGGTACTGGAACTTTTTTTCTGACTTGGCTTCAGCATGAAAAAGTCACCAAGGTTTGGGAACACTTATCATACAGAAGCTAAGTCACCCTTTGTCTGGCAAGGAGCTCAGGTTCTTTGGAGGGACTGTAGCCCCTCGACCAATGGCTGACAAACGTGTGTGCGACATTTTGCTTTCGAAGGGACTGGGTACTAGGAGGGTTGAGAGGGTAGCGCGTTTCTGAATACTGCATGCCGCTTACCTCCTCGGGCAAGGCCCGACACTATTAGATTGCCACGTTGGATATCCAATTAGACATACTGGATATCCCATGGGGCACCATTGGACGTCCAAAGCGCCCCAAGGGACACTTGGGGCGCCCAATTTTGGACGTGGGACGTCCAATAGGACGTCTAGTGGGACGTGCTACGTATACTGCCGATGGGACGTCTTGGACGTCCCGGCTCAGTAGTCTACCCAGCAAAATTGATTCAGCAAACATGTGGGATAAAGTATTCAATCCGTGCTTTAGGGTTAGGGTTAGGGATAGGGTCTGCGTGCTCCCTCCCTATTCTTTTTCTAGAAACTTTTAAAATCCTCGGTAGGCGGTCCTCCCAGCTGGACGTCCTATTGAACGTCTTACGTGATGTAGCGCCCAGAGTTGCCCAGACACACGTAAGCCGAATAGATGCAGGCACATAGTACGCATAGATCGGATGTGGCTATCTATCATTAGGCTATAGTGCTTCCCGCCCCTTACCTTGCCGACGTGCGTTCGCGGATGTAGTTGTAGTTGCGCTCGAAGTCCGGCAAAGACCGGATCTCCAGCTTAGACCCGTCCCGCAATGTCAGCACCAAGTCTCCACACCTGCAAACGGAGGATGGGCCAGGTCCGGAGCACGTCAAAGCCATCGAAATATTGTTGAGTTGCGCCGCGACGACACGTTGCTCTGTAGTCAACTCAAGGGGGTCTAACGAGTGCGGCAAACGGAGGGTGGGTCTCATCCAGGGCATATCAAGACAACAACTGTAACATCGAAAATTAAAGATGTGACACGACGACGCGTTGCTCTGTAGTCAACTCAAGGGGTCAAATGAGTGCGGTCAGGGCGACGTGGCGGGCCCCCCTCTCGTCATAAACCCCCCAAGGTAGCGAGGTAACGCGATGATGAGGCAGTCGGTCCCGTCGAGAAGCGGCATCGCACGGCATGAGGGGACAACTTCGCAGCAATCAAAACCACGTACAGTACAGGTGGGAGGGTTTGCGCTTTGGCAAGCCATTAGGAAGACAAGACGCCGCGGAAAGCGACGAATACACGAAAAAAAAACAAGCTCGCGGCAACAGTAACGACAGAGCGGGGGGGGAGGTATCTAGTGTTGATCGTCCACAGAAAAAGTTAACAGCATACGCTACATTTCAACCCAAGCAGTATCGCCACCTTTTCCGTCAGTTAGTGTTGGTGTGCAAAGCTCAATATAATTTTGTGCTGCATGCCGCAGCGCACCACAGCAGTCACACCAAGGTTTTCACCGCCAAAGAATCGAAACCCGCGGCCTTTCGTGCAGTGCTGCCTGACGCTCGCCACGACCAAGCAAGTTGCACAAGCGGAAAGCACGAGCCCCATCATATCCCCTGCGCCTACCTTCCGAAGAACCGCCATACGTACACCATGTCCACGATGTCGGGGTATACCACCTCCGTCGTGTCCTTCCCGTTCCAGCCGCTCACGATCTGCCGGGATAAACCACGTACAAATCGCCGGGAAATGTGGGACACCAAAAAACGAAGACACAGGTGACACAGGAAATGGACCGAGATGATCGCCGTTGTTTCGTTTGCGAAAGGCGTGCTGATCAACATACTTTGGCACAGCTGGACAAGGATAACACGTTCTCGCGTGCGCGCTCACCCCCCCCCCC